TCCTGCTGGTAGGCCCCGCCCCTTCAAATCAGCTTTTCAATGAGCACAGAGAAACTTTCCACTTTAAGCAGAATGTGAAAACACTTTCAGAACATAAGGGCAAAGGGAGAAAATATGAGAGAGAGAGATCCTCCTTCACTTTATGTGACGAGCGATCCTTATATCCTGCACCATTCAGGCTTCAGCCATAATCATAAAAAAATATGAGTTACTATAATAAGAGATATGTCATAAAGTTTTACCACATTCTGCCAACGGACTGATAGATAGACAGATAGATACATAGATAGCTAGATAGATCTTCAGCAAGTATAGGTGAACTGATGTTATCTGTGTGATTTGTTTTTTCAAAATAAGAGACTTTTGTTACACTGTAACACCAGTGACATGACTCAAGGGGACCACTACTTTCATTATACATTTTATAATATTTATTTGACATTTATTTGACAAATTGATGTTTGAACTAGGTGTAATTTTTCAAATAATATATTTCTTTATTTAAAAATAAAGATACATTGTGTTTTTCCAGTGTAATATGTCTATAAAGGCTAGGGACAGACAAGATTCTCAGCTTTCAGTTATTCCCAATTTATGCAACTCCAGTACTGTTTATGGACCCCAGTATCCAGAAACATTTTAGTACATGAGGGGAAAATAATAATAATACATTTATTTTAAGTTATAAAAATAAGAATAAGAATACAATATTATTATTATTAGTAGTAGTAGTATTTGAGGGCATGGGCCATATTTTGATGTCAAAAATATATTTTTCTACCATTTAAAATACAATAATGTATACATCAGATCAGATATATGATGTAGATAACATAAATTAAATGCCAATTATAAAACATATAAGCCGTATATAAGTGGCAGAATGTGGTAAAACTTTATTATTATTATTATTATTATTATTATTTTCCTACTAATCTGTGTTTATAGTTTACGTTTGCTTTGGCAGTGCAAACGTCTGTTCCACGTGCCAATAAAGCCCCTTCTACAGCAGGGGCGCGTGGCGTCGCGTTGCTATGGCAACTGAGTAGAGAAGACAAACACAGCAGCGCTACAACAATGTCTTCGTCTGTGGCGAAAGAGGAAAGACACAAGAGACGTACTCTGGTGCTGAGGCCGTAAGTTCACAGTTTATTCACAGCAAGTCGTTTGGACAAACAAACAACAGCCATTCTAACGTGAACTGTTTTGCTCATGTGTTATTTTGCTGCCTTCTTAGCTCCTCTCGGACCATCAATGTGTCAGTGTCGGGCATACATGGAGTCAACCAAAGTACAAGATACTCAAATGGCGTCGTCGGTTCACCGAGCAGAAAAAGTTTCAGTCTGGGCGGTGGAAGCAAACTCCTGGAGAAGAGCGTCGTTCAGACTCCGAGACAAGCTGCTCGGGTATGCTTATGTGTTAGCACTGGTGTTGTAAGTTAACTAACGTTAGGTGGCTAGCTGTGAACCGGGTTAAGTTAACTAACTTTAACTTTAACTTAGTGATTTTAGGTCGAATGCGTCCGCGGTTGCCATGGATATACTCTTAATTTATGCCCCAAATTTTTATTTTAAAGTGGCCTGTGCAGTTTTTTTGTATTCTTTATTCCTTACTCCATCCACTCATGAAAACTGGACAACTGTGTCATGCCATCCTTCAGCTCACACTACTGAATGATGTGCAGCAGAGGGGATTTAGAAGTTGGTACTCCTAATGCCGACTGAAAAATATTTGGGTACTTTCTTTACCTGCATGTACCCTGTACTACACCACCGGTAACACCTGTGTTTACCTTGCTATTTAATGTCAGAATGACAGCTGTGAAAGACGGTTTATTTAACTTACATAAATGTTTATTATTGCCTTATTATATCCTCTCAGTGGCCACCTTGCTCCTGAGAAACACCATATGAAGACACTTCTCAGAGGACAGGTCCATGTTTTTCAACAGATGCTGTCACTATGAGCAACCATTTGGCCAAAAGTCACCAGTCATGTAATATAAGTCATCTAATTATATTTAGTATTATGTACTTTGACCTGTCCATTGATTTCTGGAAGAAGATACAATACGCTCCAACTACAGGTACAATAAACTACAGGTTATGAACTTCTTCTTCATTGGTTATCTCATCGGTATCGGCCATGAGAAGCAGGTAATTACTGGTTATCATATCGGCTGAAAAAGAACTCCTTATAGTGCATCTGCAGTGAGAGGGGCCTGAGGACTGGTCTGAAGAAGGAGGTCTGGGCAGAGCTGGTGCAGTTGGACCCTTTGTTTTGAATTATTCTCTTGTTTGCAGGTGTTCGATGAAGAAGGCAATGACGTCACTCCTCAGGTGTTGTACCAGGCAGATCCAGCAGCTGTGCAGGCTAAAGCCAGCAGGTTCTTTATGGATGAAATCTCTGCTGGTGGATCAGCATCAGACCAGACAACAACCACCGGGAGCTTCACAATGCCTTTCTCCAGGTACCCTTCTATTACACCAGCTGAAGCTGATCTGAGATGGCACGAGGGTGTGGAGTTAATGCATTAACATGTGGGAATTTAGGAAAACCACCCAAAAGGTTGTTCAGAATACGACATATGATTGTTGACCATGAGCTGCTTTGTTAAATTAAAAATCAACAAGGAGCCAATTAAATCACATACACATGGTCAAATGTATGATTTATTGATAAAAGAGATGGCGATCAGATGATAAGGCATAAGATATGATTTGTAGCCATATGTTTTAAAAGCTTTTGTCCTTCTGTGTAGCCCATTAGGGCAAGGCGTTGGACACACACATTCACGGTGGGTAGAAGGTGGCTATCCGTCATTGTTTTGCCAGGTTCGATTGTTAGGGAAGCAGCAGAATATGCCAGCAAGTCTACCATAGAAATTCGGGCGTAGAATGAGGAGATTGAGGATACATTTTCCAAACGGGACATGTCCATCAACATCCCAGGTACATTACAATATTCTTTTTTAAATTCTTTCATATGTAGATACCACTATCACTCACTGTTTTAATCCACTGTTTATTCCCTTTGATTATCATATTCATAATAATCTGAGCTCCATCTTTCATGCTGGTACATGTTTCTTTTCTTTTGTTCCCTGTCAGATGTGCAGGGGAAAAGAGACGCTCTGAAAGAACACGTGACAGAGGATATGTTGAAAGAGGTCATAGAGGTCTACATCTCTGAGACAGACAGCATTTCACTGCTGGACATACCGAGCACATTCGTGTCAGTGGCTGCTCATGATGCAGAAGCTATCATGTGAGTGAAGCGTCCTGATTTTAAAATGTGCATCATCAGTACTGGGTAGGGCTGCTTCAAGGCTTTCTCTGGGAAAGTTCTACCACTCCTAATCTTTTTGAACTGAAAAACGAGACATATAAAGACAGAGTGATAGTCTTCCTCTGTGGAACTATCCTGGGACTTACATACTGATGCAGTGTGTGACTGTGGAATAGAACTGGATTCTATCTATTGATCAGTGATTGAAAAATGTTTTCACAGACAGAGAAACAATCAGTATGCTGAGGTTTGCAGGAACAGAATGGGCAATGATAAGTACGTGGATCGATCAATGCAGACATTGAATGGAGAACCTAAGAATAAACAGGTCCAGAGCGACAGCATCGTCATGGTGGACACAGGTAAGTCTCATTGTGTTCCCTTGGAGTTTACGATCTGAAAGCTGGATGAATTCATTTTTCTTATGGCCACTTGGGGGCAGCAGAACAAGCTGAACAAAACACAGTCGCCAATTTAAACATCCAGCAGACACAAGCAAGGTATGAGCATTCATCTGGAGTCAGTTTCTGTCCCCCGATGAAGTCCTACTGTCCTTTTAGTTCTGTTTCGGGCTTCAAGAACTCCTGATAATAAAATATGGTCCTATAGCTGAAGTTCACCAGCTAGTCTCGAGCTGTGTCTGTTTACTGTTTGGTGCTGGGCAGGGAGTGTACAGTGGGTTTATAAAAGCATTTTCTCTGAAAACAAAGATGATGATGATGATAAAAAAAAGGGAGCTAGTGTCACTTGATACATTGCTATTACATAAATATTGATTAGTGCAGCTTTATGGTAACAGATTTAGATTTCTAACCACTTAAAGCTATAATAGGTAACATTTTGCATTCAAATGTCTATAAACACTAGAGCTATGTTCTATATGTAGTTGAGTGTGTTTGACCGGTCGCCTGTCTTTGGCGTCATGTCCCCTTTGTGCATGTGTCAGCGTTGTGGTTGTCTGCCAGAAGCTGTCATACATTGACTGTTTATCCAGTCTGAAGCCACATGTTTACCATCCACTGTTTAGATCTTGGTGCTTTTTAACTCTATGGATTTGAAACCGGGTATGAAGGATTTTAGTCATCAGGACTGTCTGGGATCTTAAAGTTTAAGAAATTAAGCCGAGCTAACGTTAAGCTGCAGCTCAGCTTCGTTTGTCTGCTCCAAATCAGCTGTCGGGGAAGGGAAAGCAGTGATTTTTGAAGGGTGGAACTGCTTTTATTCAGTGTCTTGTGGAGAGGAGGCAGACTCTTCTGTAGCGGATTAATCCATGCTCCCGTCTTGGATAGAAACCTCCTGAACCATGACACCACTTCCTCTTTTGTTATTGCTTCAATGTGAGAGATCACCCAGTGGTACACATGATATATTGTATGTTTAAGATACAATAACCTTTTTAACAATACGTTTTACATTCCCTCTCAAGCCTCTTAACTGTCACAGAGATACAGATATTCGAAGCACTATAAATTAAAAGTCCCCTGTTGATTGTTTTTGACCATTAGAAGTGTTATGGAGCAATGTTTTGATGACTGGGTTGCTGTTAGTTTATATTGTGCATGTGCATGAGGGCACACATGTGCAACATGATACACATTCCTGCTGCAGTGAAGAAGACTGCTAGCTACCAAACATAAATGTAAACCATGCACATTTTTTATGTTTTAGGTCCAGTGTGTAACAATTAGAGGATCTATTGTCAGAAATGGAATATAAGTATTTCATTAGGGTATGTTTTCATGTTAGTGCTTATAAATTCACCTGGAATGTAAGAACCCTCTTCTATGGAGCTATGCCATGGTGAACCACATGTTCTTCTACAGGTAGCCCAGATTAAACCAAACACGTTTTTGCTTGAAAGTGACAATTAATTGATTATCAGTTTGTAATTTGTATTTGTACCTACAAACCTAATTGTAGCAGGTTTTCTATGTAGACATAGACTGTTAAACACTGTCAATAGTGTTTGGCTTTTTTTCAAATGGACAATCGTTTTGATCTCCTTGTCCACAGCCACGACTGTTACCGCCTGGGACATGTATGACACTTATATCAGCCCCAAGCAGGATGAAACAGTGTGTACCCCTCAAGCAGAGAGGGCTGACTATCCGGAGGTTGCTGTGGACACCAGCAGAGGGGCAGAGAAGAACATGTCAGTGGGCAGTTCAACCAGTACAGGTAACAGTGAGAGGCACTGGAGAGGATGCTCTGCTTTAGTGTCGATTTTATAATTCCACTCCAAATAGCCAATAATCCTTTGCAATAACTTGCATATATAATTTCCTTGTATTCCTCTTCAGGCAGTGCTGCTAGCTCATTGAAAGAACAGGAAGTGATTGGGAATGGGTTAAACGCTGAGTCAGAGCTGCACTTGATCATGCTGTCAGAGAAATTCCAACACTTATTACTAGTAACGGAGAGGAGCATACTGGGAAATGTCTTTCAACCCAAGCTGGCCGCTTACAGAGAGCTGCCCATACTGGAAGGTAAACTCAGCCCATAATCACATGGGCTACATTTTTTCTTCAGAAGCACACACACACACACACTAGTGATAATGCAGATGTATTAAGATGCTTTCTGGACTGGTGTTATTTACGCCTCATACTGGTACACTACATACGTATTGCCTACCAACCATTGGTAAGGTCAGATAAAGTATTGATGGATACTATTAACATGTAACCATTTGAATGAATTGATTGTGTCAGACCCAGACAGTCCAATGAAGCCTGGGACGGTGGAGCAGAGGGAGGATACAGAAAGCCCCCGACCTCCAGCTGTGGAGTGTCTCTGGGCCTTCAGCTGTGAGCTCAGCAGAGGACGCAGCGTCAGCAGCATGGCCTGGAACAAGAAGTACCCGGTAACAGAGACTTACTTGCTGCCCTCTGTTCTGTCTGTACACCTGAGTCATTTTGTCTTCTATGATGGTCTCTTCTTTGACCTGTCAGTAGTGTATGTCCATTTAACAGTGTTCACTAATTATTAGCAACGTGGAAAGTATTAATCAGGTCTGCAGCATTGTTGTGGATGACAACATTTAGTTCACCCAGATCACAATGACTTTTTTGACTTGGCCCCAGTAGTGGTCAGTAGGATCTGATAACATTTTAACGGTGATCAAAGAAATATGTCAATTTAAGAGTTATTTCTGTGCTTGTCACCGTATTTTTGTTGCCTTTTTTCATGAATGTAGCTAGGCTAGCTAGCTAGCTGATATGTAAGAAGATGATGCACCAATGGAGCTGAATGGAATTTAAAGCCCCATTGTATCTTTATCTGTGTATATTTGTGGTGCTCATTTAAAAAGTTATATGTTCAAAACGGAACATGTATGTCTTGAAACAATGTTATCCAGAGTAACTAAGACATTGTTTGGAAAGATATACTACTTGAGTTTTTTCAAATGTTATTTTTCAATGCTTTGAGCAGCACAAACAAAATTTTAAGAGGTGGATATTGAAACTATCTGCATGGCTTGATAGTACTAGAGGTAAGTGAGAAAGCCAGTCAATACTGTTTTAACATGCATACAATCGACATTGTCTGACATGCAGGTACACATTAATCATAAACGAACAAAACTGCAGGAGCTGCTCTTGTTGACATTTTTAATATAATATCAGCAAACATTTACTTTTTTATGGTTCTGCTAAGTCTGAGTCTAATTTGTTTAAAGAATTATAAATACATAATATTGTGTAAAATATATAATAAAAACAATGTATTATAACATAATTCTACCTAATAAAAATGTGTGCCACTTCATCTGCTTATGCTCTGCTTTCTCTGCTAGGACCTCTTGGCTGTGGGCTATGGTGAGCTTTACTCCAGTAACCAGAAACCAGGCCTGGTGTGCTGCTGGTCTCACAAAAACCCCACTGTATGACTTTGTTTTAACCCTTATTTACCTTCCAAAACCTTCACATATTGTCCTCAGAAGCATGCAGGATGTTGAGTGAGGATGTAGTTCATGTGTTCATTCCAGCTGATGTCATGTGTCCTCTCTGCAGTGGCCTGAGCGTGTCATATACTGTGACAGCGCTGTCACTTCCTTGGATTTCTCATTCAACAACCCCAGTCAGCTGGCTGTAGGCATGCAAGATGGCAGTCTCGTTATCTACAATGTGCAGAGTCGAAACCAGTTATGCGTTGCCAGCAGCAGGTGAGGACAGTGTGAGGACAGTGCAGCTCTTACATCACGCACTAAAAATAATAGCTACTGGTGCTGCTCAACATTATTGCTCTTTACTTCTTTGTGTGTTTGGGTCACCTCGCAGTGAATGTACCAACAAGCACTTGGCTCCAGTGTGGCAGCTAAGGTGGACGCAACAAGATTTGAGCTTAACAGGAGAGGAGAAGTTAGAAGCTCTCTATACTGTGGCTGCAGATGGCAAGATTTGCAAGTGGTTCATCTGCAACAATGGCCTCGACTGCATAGGTACTGAACTCAACAACAGGCGATGCTTTACCATTGTCAGTTCTGCTTGACACGCATATTAATAAAGACCTTAAGACTATACACCTATCAGCCATA